AGACCCCCACGCCCCCCGCGCAGCCCCTCGGCAGAGCTGCCCGCCCTGCAGAGCTGCTCGCCCCGCTCCCAGGTAAGAGCTGCTGTCCTCCAGCATCCTGCTGTCCTCACCCTGGCTGGGCATCACCGCAGGGCACCCCACAGCTGCGCCCCCCAACTCAGGCACCTCACCCCTTTGCTTCCCTGATTTTTCCTGCAGATGCCAAGTCCCGACATGGAGCCCAAGACAGTTTATGCCAGTGTGATGATGCCCGTGGTCTGAGCCTCACCCAGCCCAGCCTCCACCTCTTCTCACCGGGCACAAAAAATCGACTTTCCTGGCTGGAGGAAACCCCGCTTATACCTGGGGAATTGGGGCAGAACCCTCCAGCATGTGTCAACCCTCATTGCAGCCAAGCTGGGGATGCAATGATGGGATGGTGGAGCCAAGAGCAGGACTGAAACAACGCGGGAAATCTCTCCAGGCAGCCAGCAGGATGCTAAAGCACCGGGAAAGGGTAAAGAGGGGCTCTGGGTATGACCCCACAGCCGGGCATGAGCAAGGGACAGAGAAATGGCCCCTTGGAGGGGAAGTCTCAGCCCGTCAGCACCGTGGTGCAGCACCGGGAAGCATGGCCGGAGCAAGTTTTCACCCCAACTTCATCCCTGCCCTGGGGGTTTTCACCCCAAGGCTTCGCTAGAGGGAGCCCCTGGCTCGTGGCAGCTGGTGACACCGGTGACACACAGGCATGGGGGTTCAATGGCAGCAGGGGAAAAAAATCAGAAGTGATTTTTACTTTTTTTTGATGTCTGGCTCTGCAGCCGGTTACGAAACGCCTGAGTTTCAACCGAAGCAATGAAGAAATATTTGCAATCCCCGCGGGGCTGAGCCCTGCCCAGTGCCTGACCCCCTGACTGGGGACACCAGCAGCCTCCACCAGCGCCTGGGGAAGCAGCCGTGTCCCACTGCACTTTTCCATCCCCATCCTTTCCCACTGATGACTCCGGGACCAGGAGAGGATCTTCCAGGTGGACTATTTAAAGCTGAATTTTGGGCTGAGAATGGGGAGGCAGCCCCTGGCCACAGCGTCTCCCATCTTCCCTGCAGAACCACCCGGCATGGGGATGCTGGAGGGGGCCTGGAGGAAGGCTCAGGACTGGAAACTCTTTCCAGCCCACCCCCAGCCTGAGCTATTTCATAATCCCGGCATAACTCGGCTCGTACAGCAGGTCTGATCTCGTGCGCCGCTGCTAAGGGAAAGGAAAATAAATTTTTAGTAAAGCCTTTTGGAAAGATTTGTTGGAGCAGCATGTTGGGGCTGGATTAAGCTTTTGGGGATGGGGTGGAGAAGATAAATCAGTGGCTCTGCACGTCCCAAGCTTCCTCTTTGTGTCACTGCAAAAAATCAGCTGAGCTGATTCCTTGGAAAATCTACCCACAAAGCAACCACTTCCCCCAGGATCATCGGAAGGTCATGGTCACGCTTGCCCTTGTGTCTCTAAAATGGTGTAAAACCCCCTGACTTCTATGTCCGGCACTTGGTGCAGGATGGAGCCCAGTGCTTCCCCATGGGTTCTTGTAGAAGGATGGGGCAGGTGCCCAACCCCTCACCACAAGAAGAACATTGTGGGGCTTGGGGATGTGGGTTAGTGGGTTGGGTGGTGTTGGGTTGACGGTTGGACTTGATGATCCTTGAGGTCTTCTCCAACCTTCATGATTTGATGACGTGCTGTCCCACCATGCGTCCTGCCATTGCTTCTTGCCCTGCAGCTGGGAGGGGATGGCAGATGCTGAATACAAAGAGTTTGTGTAAAAATAGTAATATTGACATTACAGATGAGCACTGAGTCATGATGCCAGGGACTGCCTCGGGCATCTGAGTCATGATGCCAAGGATGGCCTTGGACAGCTCTTCCTTTGCCTCTCATCTTAGTTGCGAAAGATTTAGGAATTCAGCAGCGTTTGTTATCCCGTCACCCCCCACAGTCCCCTTGCTCAGTCTCCCACGGCACAGCACCGGGGCAGCATCGAAGGGCAGCAGCAGCCACCCCCTCCCTCACCGGGGTGGACTATTTTAAACCCGACGTCCCCAACAGGTTCAGAGCGCTTCCCTCGCCTGAATTTCAGTATGACGCCGGCGTCATGCTCCTTCCCAGAATAAACTGAATTAAGGAAGCCGCTGCTTTCCTTGCACTTGTCGTTCAGCTGTCCCGTCTTGGGGGATGGAGTCTGGGGGGATGGAGAGTCTGGATCTCAGCATCCCTTACAAAGGATGCCCTGGTGATGTAGGTCCATTGTCACCAGGATGCTCCACGATGCTCTCCATGACACCTCAGGGCTGTTTCCAACTGGGATACTTGTCCACGGTCACGATGACGCTCTTTGTCCCAGCTGCCCCACTTTGCTTGGAATTTGAGTTTTTCAGCTTGAGTTTTCATTATATGTATGCCATAGGATTTTCTTCCTTGTCACACCCCTTCTAGTACCCAGCTCGATGTCACCACGTGATGTGATGGTGTGGCGTGTGGTTCTGTCTCCACCCATCCCACCCCGGGGCAGGGAAGCGTGGGCGGAGGTTGCAGGCGCACACATCTTCTTCTTGCCACCGTGATCTGTAGTAGATGCTCGGGAACAGAGCCCTCTCCGTGCGCCGCGGGCTGATGGATGCGTTGTGGTGCCTGTCGCTCATCCTCCTCCTCCACCAAGCCAGTAAGTGCAAGATGCTCATTTTTCCCTCGGCGGTGGAAGGGAAGGAGCCCACGGAGGGGCTCGGGGTGGTTTTAGGGGCTCCCAGGAGAGCAGGGACAGGTCTTGAGACCAGTGGGACCAGCAGCTCCGGGTGCAGCTCTACAGGGGTGGTGTTTGTCCCAAAGAGGTTGGGTAAACCGGGGTGAAAGATGCCCAGCACGACCCAGTGCTGACCCCTTGCGCTGTCCCCCGCTTCTAATGAGTGAATGCATCAGGTCTCAGCTCCGTCTCAGTCTCTACCCAGGTGCTGCCAGATGTGCACCGGCCACTGAGCTTGCTGCTCTGCTCTGCATTCAGACTCTGCTCCCTGCATGTTGTCTCAGAGTTTTCTGCACTTTTATGGTTTCGTTGTGGGGTATTTTGGGGCTGTTTGAAACAGGAGGTGCTTTCTGCAGGTTTGCAGGCAACGGGCAGAGACGCCGACTCTGCCCCAGCCCCCTCCCCGCAGCCTCGAGGAGGATTTTGCTGCCGGATGAGCCCTCCAGCTGCTTTATCTGCTGTTTCAGCAGAATTTCCTTTTTTCAAGTTTATCTTCTCGACCAGCTTTTTCCTCCTCTGCAGCTGGAGATGCCGGGTCTCGATGTCCCACAGGTGTCCCCGTGGGGTTGGCTGGGCACTGGGGAGAGGTGCCAGCCTGGGGGTCCGGCTGAGCCGGGATCGGTTCCCTAACCAGGAACTGGGGGAGAAAACCTCTGTCCCCAGCCCAGACTGGGCACTATTGATTTTTAAAATGGGAAGTAGCCAAAATAAGAGGGAAATGTCTTCTTCCTTCTCAGAAGAGGGGAGAAGCCGCCACACATTTGGGGAAGAGGCCACATGTTTTCTTGCCTGCTCATGTCGGTGAGCTTGGCCTTTTGCTCTGGTGATGAAAATGAACCAGCCTGACCTTTTTGAGTCATTGCAAACCCCTCGTTGCACTTTCATTTTGCACCTCGAGGCTCTATCCCTTGTGCCCCCTTTGCACGTGGGAAGCGGCGTGGGTGTCCTGTAGCTGCAGGGGAACCTTCACCAGAACTTGGGGGATGCGGAAGCACAGGTCCTCCTGAGGGACCTTATCCCAGACCCTCTGAGGCAATTAATTTATTTAAAATAAAAAGGAATCCCCCAATTCCTGCAATCACCCCAAGACGGAGGGGTGCATCAGCAATGCCATGTGCATCCTCATCCTCAGGGGTGCCCCAGAGGGTTCAGGTGGGATGGGCTTGGATCCAGAAGACCGAAAAGTTTTTGCAAAGCCGTCCTCGCCTCTGCAGAGGCACTGTTTGCCTTTGAGATCACAGAATCATGAAACGGTTTGGGTTGGAAGGAACTTTAAAGATCCTACTGGGCTTCTGCTTTGGAGCAAAAACCAGAAACTCGGTTATCTCAGCCCGAATCCAGAGCCCTGCTGTGGCTCTCTTTTTGGCCGAGGACCTTTCCGCGAGCTTTCCCTGCCTTCTCTACCAGCCATCTCCCAAGCTCGCGGAGCATCCTCTCCCCGGGCGCGTTGCCTTCAGCCTGGCTTCTCCCCTCAGTGTGTGACAATGATGGAGAAGAGGTGACCAGAGCCCTGGGCAGGTCTGTCACCTTCCGCCTCCAGAGCCTGGATGGAGAAGCCACCGCTTGGAGCTTTCACAACGACATCATCGTGACCGTTAAATTTGGCAATCCTCCCGAACCCACGTTTTTTGACAACTCCTACAAGCCGCGCTTGACCTTCACCGAGAACGGCAGAGCGCTCACCATCTCCCAGCTGCAGATGGACGATGCCGGTACCTACACTGCAAAGACCGCCACGGAAAAAAAAACCACCTTCACCCTACACGTGTACAGTAAGCGCCTTTTAGTGCTGGTGGAGGGCTTTTTTTTTTTTTTTTTTAATGCTTTGTGTTGCATGGGGGGGTTGGGGATTTCCTGACAACCTGCTTCATCCTGCAGGGGAGCTGGCGGTGCCGACGGTGACCTGCGCGGCGCAGAACTGCTCGGCCGACGGCTGCCGCTACACCCTGGGTTGCACCGCGGTGGGGTCTGACTTCGGGGATGTCTCCTACAGCTGGAACAGGGAGGGCTGGCTGTTGGACGAGGGACCCACGGTGCTGGTGTTTTTTGGCGAAGAGCCGTCCCCCCTCACGTGCACGGCGCAAACCCCCGTCAGCAGCCGCAACGTCACCGTCATCTCACCCGCTGCCCTCTGTACAGGTAACAGGCATGGGAAGATGCGTGGGTGGGTGGCAGGGATGGGCCGTATCCTGCTCCCAGCAGCTCCAGCTTTTCCTCGAAGGGCAAAGGGAGAAACGCAGCGCCCCGGCGGAGGCACTTACCTCTCTCCCTGTTCTCTCCCCTTTCTGCGCCATCCACGCTGCCAGAAAACACAACCCACCCTCCTGCCGCCGGTGAGCTGCCGAAACACCCCGTCCGTGTCCAGCCTTGCTCTTAAGTGTCTGAGTGTTGCCCGAGCCCGCTAACAGCATCCAGCTGCCCGGACCCCCCTCACCTGGGGAGGGGGGATATGGGGAGCCTGAGGCCAGCACTGTCCATCTCCTCCCAAATCAACTCGTGGGGGACAGGCAGGCTTTTTGGGCAGCGCCTTTAGCATCTGTGCATTGTCTTTGTCACCTGGGGAATTTGAGGAGAGGAGGGTGTCCCCCCCCAAAATTCCCAGCTTGGAATGGGAGCATTGAATTCATGCAATGGGAAGCGGCAGAGCCAAGGATGGGCTGGAGGTGGGAGCATGGCTCTGTGTACCCCTGCCCATGTGGGGTCCCACCCCCCAAAAAGCCACCTGTGATGTCCCCAGAGGGCAAAGGAACATCGACAGGGGCAGCCGTGGCCATGGAGGGGCTGGGGCGTCTGAGCCGCTGCTCTGTCTGCAAAGCCACTCGTCCTCTTGCAGTGTGTCGCCTCCTCTGCGTGTTGGACCATGTTATCGTTAAATAACAGGGCTCAGCGGGGTGTTGAAGCAGAGTCGTGCCCGTTTCCCCCCCCCACTCTGATGCCAGGAAGAGGCAGATATGTTTGATGATGTTGTTACCAAACCTTCTTCTCTTTTAAGGCACCTACTCCGACAGGCAGGTTGGAATCGTGGTCGGGTCTGTGATTGGCGTGGTAGCGGTGTTAGCAGCAGTGATCTTATTCGTCTACTGTAAATCCAAAGGTGAGCTGCTGTCCCTGCAGGTAACTGTCCCTGCGGACCCAGCAAGCAGATGGGACCGGAGAGGGGGACACGCAGCCAGTCCTGATGCCCAGGCACACGGGGGGCTGCAGCTGCTGGAGCCGAGGATGCTCCGTGGGGTTCACTTTGGTTGCCACTGCTGATGGGAACCCCTTGTCACTTCTCCCCCAGGCTGGAAGATCTTCCGTGTGCCTGCAGCCGAGGCTAGGAACACAGGTAGGACTCGGGGCTCCCCCAGGTGTTTTTTTCTCTCCCTCTTTTTCCTGCTGGGAACAGCCTGGTCGCATTTAAGACCAGGAGGGAAATCATCCACCACCGGGACTTGGTACCAGAGCGTATCCAGAGCGTACCCCGGCTCGTGGGACCCTGACGCTGCCCTGCGACCCCACCCTGCACACACAGATGGGAGTGAAAGGAGGTGATCCCAGGCGATGTCGCGGTGGCTGAAGATGGGCTCTGCTGCAGTTTCTCGCTGGAAAACTTCATGCCAGCCCAGCAAGAAGGAGCCGGGAGCGCGACCATGAGATCACCAAAGCAGGAGGAATTTGGGGAAAAAAATAAGAGCTGGGAAGAGACAACCTAGAGCCAAGCAAGGAGGAGCTGTGCACCCCACATCCAGAAACAACACCCCTGCAGCACCGCGCGTGGCTCGAGCAACCGCTGCCGGAAACAGCCGCTGCCTGTTTTCTGGGGGCAGCGATCAGAGGTGCAGCCCCACCAGACTCAGGGGTTGAGGGTGCGAGTCCAGCCTAGAAATCCATTGGGAGAAGTCGTCCCTGGACCAGTTCCCATCTCTTCTCCCTGATGTTCAGGGTTGTTTTGTGATGCGACTTGTCATGCCGATCGCTGCTACAACTGAGCCAATGCCCAGCAGAGATCAACCTGACTTTTTTTTTTTTTTTTTAAATGTGCATGTTTTTTTGTTTCCATAAGCTGAAATAAAACTGATACGAACGACTGAGTTCCTGCCTTGTGTTTTGCATTTGCACGTGCCCAAGCAGGATGTCGGGGTGCAGCCAGGACCATGGGCTCCTCCTGGATGATAATTTGGATCCAGCTCTTCCATTGGGAACCGTGGGCAAAAGCTCTCCCCGAAGTTCTCCTCTCTGCGTGGGCTGTTCCTCTGTGGGGCTGGCAGCAGAGCTTCAAAGGAGAGGCACTGAGATCTTGACCCAAAAATGGGATTAGGAAGGATTTAAATCCTCTGATGAGCCAAAGAATGAATCAACACTAATGCTTCCTGCAACGGTGGCAAACAGGAGAAACAACTGCATCTCGCCCTCTGAAAGCAACTGGGAATTTTGTATTTTAATAAAAAGCAGCTGGGAAACTCATATTTAAATAAAAAAGCTGATTTTTCACAAGCAAGTCCCTTTGGCTTCTGCCTTTTGAGCTGGAAGCAAACGCCCCACTCCAGCAGCGGCCAGGGCAGGAGGGCCGGTGGAAGGAGAAGCGATGCTCACCTCAACCCAGACCCACAGCAAACACCTCCAGTACCTCCGACAGGCTCCAGCAGCTCCAAGGGGCTCCTGCATGGCTGGGATTTCTCCCGAGCTGAGTTGAAGCCGGGATTCCCTCCAGGCCTTAGCAAGGAGCATCCCAGTGGCATTGTGGGTCGTGCATGGGGATTCACTGCAGCCCCTTCCCGGATGCAGCAGCCTGCTCCCTCACTGACCTTCCACTTTTTTTCTCCTTGCAGAAGCCGGAGCAGAGTACTCAACGGTGTACGCCCAAGTCAGTTCTACCCAGCAGGTCAGTTTGAGGAGGCTCATCCCCATCCTCCTGGTCTGTGGCCGGACTGGGCTGCTCAGCCGGGGGTGTCCTGCATGGGGGCCACGAGGCAGGGACGGGGAGGAAGGATGGCAGCTGGACAACCCCAGGGTTTGTCTGTGAAATCGTCTCGGGAAGTTGAACGGAGATGTGCCAGGGCTGGGGCTTGCCCAAGAGTGGCCAGAACAGCCACCTGCATCCCCTTTGAGGTGCATCTGCCCAGGGAAGCGGTGGAGTCCCCATCCCTGGAGGGGTTCAAGAAACGTGTCGATGTTGTGCTTGGGGACATGGGTCAGTGTGTTGGGTGGTGGTGGGTTGACAGTTGGACTTGATGATCCCTGAGGTCTTGTCCAACCTTCATGATTTGATGATTCGATGACCTCAGCCCCACGAAACTTGGCTTCTTTGACTCACCCAAGCTTTGAGATCCCTTCGCCAGCTCAAAGCCCTGGGAAACACTTTGTAAAAAATCTTCTCCCCAGGTGCACGTGCAGAGTTTCCCTAATGCACGGAAAGACGAACCAAAGACAACACTGATCCCCGGCATGGAGAACTCCAAAACCATCTATGTCACCGTCCAGGCTGTTGCCCAGGTGAGTTGATGTTTGTGACCTTCACCCTTGGAGGGGCTCCAGCACCACGCAATGAGATGGGCAAGACCCCAGGGTGAGAGACACCACCCCTAGAGCAGGGTGCACGGATGGATGGGTCTTCACTGGTCTTCCTTGGAGTCCAGAGCTTCAAGCCAAGACCGTGGGCCCCCTCTATTTTGCCAACGGCTCCCATGAGCCCAAGCAACACTTTTGTCCCTTTGCGATTGCAGACGGATGACGAGAAGATGGGCAATGCCATGGCGGGGTGCCGGGAGCAGGATGAGAAAAGCATCTACTCCATGATCAGATAGCCAGACTCGCAGTGGTTGTCTCTGCCCAGCCCTGGCCCTTGGGGCTGCAGCATCCCCCCTTCCCTCCCCATCGCTGCCGCCTCCAAGTCACCCATCGGCAGCGGTCCCTGGCCATTGGCATGAGGATGAAAGCGCTCCATGAGTGCAGGCTCATCTGGCACAGGAGCTTTGCCCGTGTTTTGGTGTCCACGGGGGGTTTGGGCTCCTTTTTCTGCCCTTTTTGACCAGACCAAGGAACATGGACCAGAACTGGTGCTCCTGGGATTCACCCTGAAGCATCTCGTGGCACGGAGACACAGGATGAGAGGATGGAAAAACTTGAGGAGCTTCTTAAAGCCCTTTTAATTTTTTTTTTCTTTTGTCTTGTCTTCTCAACTTGGCGAGTACTTTGGTTGCTTCATTTTTGGTTGCTAAACCAAGAGAAAGCAAATCATAACACTTGGTGGTTGAAAGCTGAAGAAGGAAACACCCGTGCCTTCACACACCCAAGCTGCTGGAGTTTCGGTGCTGTCGGCTGCTTCCCCAGTGCCGGGGACCTTCCAAAAGTCTCAGCACCCCGCTCAGCATCACTTCGTGTCATGAATGAGCAGCTTGAGGTCCTCTGAGATGCTGCAGGGTGATGCTGGGGTTGGGGAAAGCAGGACAAGGAAGGTGGTGGGTTCCATCCTGCTCTGCTCCTTTGATGCGTTTGTAGACGAGGTTTTATTCTTGGATTAAATATTTGTATATGAGTTTTTATTTTGGATGAAATATTTGTGTATTCTGGGATGAAATATTTGCCCACGAAGTGCTGTGTCTGCAGAATCAGGTGGCTTCCCAGCAGAGCTTCAGGGAAGGGCAAATCCGAGCACCGAGTGATGCCGGGATGCTGCGCGGGGCGGCAGCGGCCGCATCCCACCGAGGTGCCCATCCTGCGTGGGGTCATCCCGCCCTGAGCCGGGATTTACAGGGACGTGGGTGCACGTCCCCAACATCCCAGCTCCCTGGAGCAATACGTGTGCGTTGGCATCAATTTTCCGACGCCGCCGGACAGATAGACGCCGCTGGCGCTGGGAAGTCACTTCCCGTGCTTCCCCCACTGCTCTTTGTCTTGTCTGTGCGGATAGTAAATTATTCAGGGATGAAACCAGAGATTCCTTTGAAGTGCCTGGCACAGGAGAGCCCTCTAGGAGCTGCCGGAATAAAAATGCGAGAAGCATCCCAGCTCAATTTCTCCCTGCATATTATTTTGGGGTGAAAACAGGCCATTATCGCCGAGTAATTTGTTTGTGCTCGGCATTTTCGCAGTGTGTGACAGGCTTGGGTTTTTGAGTCCCTCAAATTTAAAAAAGAAATAATATAT